CCATTAAATGAAGCCCCTTTAAAATTATGGGAGGCCTTGAAATCTGGCTAAGCTTTAGGTACAAGATATACATAAAGTATCTGTTAACTGTGAAATATACATGATTAGTACCTGAGAGAATAGGAAAGCTGAAAAGTTGGTCCTCAAAAACAGATACACTACAAGTATCCAGTTTATAGAACATTGCCAGCTTTATGACAATAAATAATTGCATAATTGCTTAAACATGTAACTCCTCCCTCCTTTGTATTTCAGTCTAATATTATGTGCCCGTAATTGCAAGGGCACATTAACCCACAATCAGGTAATCATCGAGGGACTACCCCGTATGCAGGCATTTTGTGAAGTGAAAAACGCCTCCATGTAAAATTTCTGTGAAATGTTATCACGTTTACATGAACTTGCTGATGACAATTATGTCATGAACTTGGCCCGTTATTTCAGCTTTAGTATTGAAAAATACATTCGTTTATTAGACATTCAATTAACGAGCCATTATTAAGTTTTAACAGCTATACTTGCATTTTGAGTACACACATTATAATATGCCATGTTCTCTTTTCTGGACTGTGAGTAAAATTCAAGAACCACATTCGCTTCTGCATCACACCTTTATTCTCCTCTTGAAAAAACCCCAGCCCCACCATTAAATTAGATGATATCTGGAAAGTAGGTTAATAGCAATTTAAAGGGCTGTTAAAAACAGGAGGTGGAAAAGACAAAATGAGACGAAAGGGATTACTGATTACTAATTCTCTCTGGTTAAAGTGAACAGGGGGAAATATTATTGAAGGAATTCATCTTTATTAGAATAAAATTTTGCAGAAGGCACTGCCAAGATCGTTTCAGTATTACGAACAACACCTTGGCAAGCAGCTAAACTCAGGCCAGTCAATCATGTGAAGAATTCCTGGTTAATTAGAGTACCAGATCTTTTAATGGAATGGTCTGAACGTTTTTAATGGCACTTTCAAGACATTATTAATTTTAACCAGCTCCACCTTTAATCTGGTCGTTTTTTGGTTTTTGGTAGTGCAATCATGTATGGAACCATTTTATCTAGATGAATTCCATATAGATACGTATTTATAGAGGGATTTATATGTATGGTTATATTCTGCCTGTCCAATCAAATACAGGACCTCTTAGCTCGTTATTTATATTTCAGGGAGGATGTCTGGACTTTTGATTTTTATGCATAATTGTCCTTTGTGTTTGCCATTGGGGAAGGGAGCATTTACCTTTGCTCATACCTCACCCTTTCTTCTCTTCTACTAGGAAATGCTGTTGAAGAGAGCTGCAGACCTAGTGGAAGCCCTCTATGGCACACCACACAATAACCAGGTTCGATGCTGACACCTTACACTCTGTTGAGTCTGAATCTCTGTGCTGCATAAAAATGCTCACCCCCCAATCTGCCATTTTGTAGGACATCATTTTGAAGCGAGCCGCGGACATCGCGGAAGCCCTGTACAGTGTCCCCAGGAATCCCAGCCAGATCCCGGCGCTCTCCAGCTCTCCGGCCCACAGCGGCATGATGGGCATCAATTCCTATGGCAGCCAGCTTGGCGTCAGCATCTCAGAGTCAACACAGGGAAATAATCAAGGTACGGCCTTTGTCCGAGTAAAACTTGACACACCTTCTCCATTTGAAAGGTTGGTTCTTCTTAAATAGAGGGAGGTAAAGCTTGATTTGTGTACCATCACAAGAGTGTGTCCCCACTTAAGCAGTGCAATCACCTATTGGATTATCTCAACATGATAGGTGATGTTTTGTTAGGTTTGGGGCCTTTTGGGTCCCAGGTAGAGTCCCCTTTATTGAAGATATTTAAGGTTAGGACAGACTGTTATGTACTTAGAAGGGGTTCGGCTTCCTGGAATGAGGCTTACAGGTATTCTTTGACTAAGATGTGCACTTCTGCTCTTGGGATCATCAGCTTGAATAGTGGAAGGAAGCTGAGTCATTGCCATTATCATTTATTTATTATGCACAACCCTCTCTTCCTAGTAACCAACGGTGAGTGGCTTGGCTTTATTTGATGACTTCTATTTGTGTATTATTTCATATACAAGTACATAGCAGCACACTTTACAGTTAACTGTGCTTTTTACACATGAAGTATACCATGTAAATATTTTTGTTACTGAGGCTGATGTTATTAAGGTGTTAAGTTTATCACAAAGCCTTTTTAAAAAGAAATACATTTCCTAAAATGTCCCTAACTTTGGAATAGCTTTGTTTCCAATTTCATTCATCCGTCGGAAGGGAATGCCTCATTTTCACGTCCCAGGGTGAGTTTTTCTTACAGAAGGGTGGGTGCAGATATATAATTGCCTTTTTTTCCCCCCTGATTTGGGTCATTTTTTACATAGCTATAGAGACTATTCTCCAAAATGGATTATTTCAGGATAGGTTAGGTGGTGTGTCCATGCTAGGGTTTCAGAGGTATGAGGGACTTGTCATCCCTTCCCCATCCTTCCCCCAGACCCAACCTCCCTGCATTCAATTGCTGATGCTTCCAAGTCTTTGGCCGAAGAATGGCACATTTAGATGAATTCAACAGCAATTTTTTTTTTTAATGTTTTATTTATTTCTAGGAGAGAGAGAGAGAGACAGCGTGAGCAGGGGAGGGTCAGAGAGAGAGGGATTCACAGACTGAAACAGGCTCCAGGCTCTGAGCTGGCAGTCAGCACAGAGCCCGACGCGGGGCTCGAACCCACGAACCGCGAGATCATGACCTAAGCGAAAGTCGGACGCTTAACCAACTAAACCACCCAGGCGCCCCGAATTCAACAGCAATTTTTAAATGAAGGCGTTCCCCACCCCGACCCAGGGGGTGGTAACAACCTTGAACTAACATTTCCAAAGCTATGATCTGCAGAGTACTGGTGGCCCTTGGGGTGTCATTAGGATCCCTTTTGCCCACCATCCCCAGAAAAGATTCTGTGGTATGTTAAATTTGGGTAACACTAGGTTAGCAAACATACACTGGTTTGCTTATTCTCTCGGCCCCACATCCGTGAAAAGACAAGGAATGGCTACGGTATATGACTTGACCCCACAATGCCTTCCTCAGTGACACCCCTGAAGATCTCATAGGACTTGATATAAAGGATGACTGGGGAGCTGTCGCTGCACCCAACCATTAGTCATCAGTCCTCGGTGCGAGCTGGAGATGTTGACTACAAATGGGGACCAAAAGGAAGGAGGGGCTGTCAGGGGCATGGCCTTGTCATAGGAGGGGGAAGGGAGAGGAGGATAGGAAGGCTGAAGACAAACTGCAGACATTCCTCCCCTGCCCAGGGGTGGCTCTGGGGGGTTTTCTATCATCTGGGGGCCACGTGGACCTGCGCGGCCATGTTTGGCTTGTGTTGGCTGTGTGTGCCAGTTCATTTACCCGGGCTTTCTCCTTGTTGTCCAGGCTACATCCGCAACACGAGCAGCATCTCCCCGCGGGGCTACTCTTCCAGCTCCACCCCCCAGCAGTCTAACTACAGCACCTCCAGTAACAGCATGAATGGCTACAGCAACGTCCCCATGGCCAACCTGGGCGTCCCAGGGTCACCAGGATTTTTAAATGGCTCCCCCACAGGCTCCCCTTACGGAAGTAAGTGCCCTTTCCATCTGTCCGGCTCTCCCTGTCTCTCTGTCCCTGGGTTTCACTCCCCAGCCTTTTGAGGGAGAGTTGCATACCTTCATCTGATGGACCCGTGGAGGCAGAGCCCAGTTTCCCAAAGAAATGTCCCTCCTGCCCTTGGCTGGACTTTGGTGCACTTGGTTGCTCAAAGCCTTCTCAAGGAAAGACAAAGAGTGAAGTTACTTGCTTTTTGCAAAGAAGGGACAATGTAGCTCATGTGGATAGGAGAGAGGAATTGAGATTCCATTTCAGCTAACATTTCCCATTAGGCACTTTTGGGTGTCATGTTTTGTTTAATTCTCATAAAACTTTCTCCTTTTGTGGGTGATGAGGTTCAAGTGCATAGCAGTTGACCTCTCCAAGATCACACAGCAAGGATAGAGCTGGGCCACCATTTGAACACAGAATTTATGACTCGGTTATTTTGTGTCTCACACCACGCTCCCGTGTCACTTTGTTGCATGGCCCTCTCTTCCTTATGCACCTTCTGAGAGATGGAGGTTAGCTGCTCATGAGAGAGTGGAATAAGACAGATCTCTTAATCCTGACCTGGGCTCACTAGATATCCTAGGGGGTCATGAAAACTCATTTGGGTTGTGTTGAGGGCTAAGAAGCCTGAGAGAGTATATGTTCTTCAAACCTCCTTGGGGAATACTTCAGGCCAGGGGAGAAGCTGCCACGGAGAGTCTGCGTGAGCGAGTGGAATGTTCTTGGAATTTTGGCTCCAGTTGTAAGGCTCTACATCAGGCCCTCTGTTCACCCAGAATGGTCCCCCCAGGCCAGGGACAAGGGCAAGTCTAGGGCAGCCCACAGCCATTTCCACCGCAGCTCAGGGATTGACATGCCAAACATCTGGAGGCTGCCTGCCTTTCACAGCCTTGTGGTTCCCTGGGGACACATGCCCATGAGTTATTTCTGGTTATCTGTTTGATTCTTTACCTTCAACAGTCTACTCAGTGTGATAAGTATGTAGTAGCCAAGCAGCAGAGGGACTAGAGGTTGGTTCTTCTACTACAACTAAAGTTAGCTATGAAGATACTAGTTCTGTGTTGTGTCATGTCCAATGGCCCACATCAATTCCATCATGGCGGTCTAGATAACCAAACTGTTGCTTTCTTGATTTGTTTAGTTCTTTACTTGTTTTTACATTATCTTGTTCCAAAAATGTTTGGGGGAATATTAATCATGAGATGAGTGCTTTGAATGTATAAAATAATAACTATAAGAAACTGAGATAAAAGAAGAAAATATGGATAGGAAACTTAGATGAACCCAAGGACTAACCTGGATATATTCAGTCTAGTCAAGGGAGCCATTAACTTCATTCCGAGGCTTACAAGATGGGAAAGCAAAGAGAGAAACTTTACTTGTCATAGGATTTTATGTCCACACATTTCTTGGGGACTGGGGTAGCTCTGGAGAAACTTGATTTTTCTGTTGCTGAGACCTTGGAGAGATTTCTCCCATGCATCGCTGTAGAGAGGGTGCCCTGTATGTAGGAGGGACCACATCTCCAACAGCCCCTAAAAGTGATGCAAAGGCAAGAGAGCCATTGTGTAAAGAATGTCACATAATAATGGTGACCACAAGAGTAATTCACCACTGCATTCCACTTTACAGCCTAAAAAGGATGTTCACATACAGAGTCTGGTGAGATCCTCACAACAACTTACACCATGGCTATCATTGTAATTATTATGATCATTTTCTCTTTTAAGATATCAAGGGATATTAAATTACTTACTCAAGGATTTGTAGCCAATAAATCATAAAAATAGGACTAGAAATATGTCATCAAATTCAGAATACCACATTCTAAAATTATTCAATAATATAAGAAATATTTTGTGTATTTATAATACATTATTAGGCCAAACACCACAAAATTACTTTTTTTTGTTTCTCCAAATAGTAGTTTCATATGCTCAACATACATTTATCAATTAAATGCATGTATAAGCTGAACCATATGAATTGTTGTTTGTGTAGCTCAAAAATGGTCACTATAATAATATAATATGTAGCACGGTGATGAGAGAGAGAGCAAAAGAAAGACGGTGGGTGGATGCGTAGGGATGAGAGAGAGAGATAGAGGCCCAGAGACACAGAGAGAGAATGGAACAGAGAGAGACAGAAAGGAATAGAGATGGAAGTGACAGAGAGAGAAAGGATGAACGGCTAAGTGAAGATACACACTGGGTGATAGCTTGTCTCTTACTAGCTAATTCCTTTGGTCGGGAGCTTCTTTTCCCTCTCCAGCAAGTGACAACTTCCTTCCACAATCCTTTCTTGATCATTCAATCCCACTGCCGCAAGAAAAATGATACCACCCAGTTGTTCACATCACCCATTAAAACAAGATGGCTTCTGCAGGACAGAAAGAGGCTCCCTGCCCAATGGGAGTGGGAAACACAACAGAGAACCAGCTCCTTGCTCCTACCGGGTCTGTGTGATCTCTGGCACCTTTATTTTCTGAAGGCAGGTCTGAAGCAGTTGCAAACCAGGAACAGATTCCAAACAGTGCATTCATTACAACAAAATTCCCTCCTGCAAAAATACTGAATACCCCATGGAGTTCATTACAATAGCATCTGACCTGTATTGCTAGCCAGCTAAGTCTTAACTTCTCTGGGAAATATAAAAATACAGCCCAGGGGAAACCATTTTGTCAATTCAGTTGCTTGTGTCTGAAAACACCAGTCCATGATTTTTCATTTTCTTTTTTAAGCTAGGCTGATGCAGCCAGGCCAGGCCATGGAGGAATCACTTGCCAGAGACGTTAAGCAAAATAAAGCCAAGCCTCTCGGTCAAGTTGATTTGCATTGTGGCCAACGCAGAGTATCAAAAACCTGCATCTTTACTGCTTTTGCTCTCACACTACTTCAAAAATGGCCAAACAGATGTTTTTTCAATTTCACGTACAAACTTCACTTCCTGGCGGTAGCAGTGTGTGCCAAGTTCCAGCTCAGTGCAAGTTTTTATGGCTGAATTCTAAACCCCTGACAATAGGGGGTTATAATGAAATGCTGACAGACCCCTTAGCGCCAACAAATGCAATGGCTCGATGCAAAGGAGGATATGTGCCCGGTGAGCTCCAGCTGGGACTAGGCAAGCCAATCAATCCTTATAAGAAGAAAAGTGGTTTTTCCTTAACTCCCCGTGTTCACAGAGATTTTTGGGGCCAGACGTACTTGCCTTTACTTTGGCCTCTATCCACAGAGAGAGAGATGTCCAGAGAAATTCTCAGTTGCAAGTGGATGTGATCCGCTTTCCTAAAATGGCGCACGCTGGTGTCCCCAGTGATAGTCTACTCAACAAGCTTGCGACACTTCTGGGACCACTTCTTCCAAAGCAGAATAGCCCTCGAGCAATTCCGAAGTCTGGGGCAGAATCTGTACCATACAGAAATCCAACCTGTGTTCAGGGACTCCTACTTCATTTACATAGTTGTAGCCTATACCCTGGGGCTCAATATTTTTATATTTTCAAAAACAAATATCAAGACATTTTCTGTTGTCGAGCATTAAATGATTATTATAGAAAATTTAGAACATATGGAAATAGTTTCAAAAAGAAGGCACACTCCCACCATAAAAAAACACCTTGTTAGAATTTTGACATACTTCTATTGTCGTTTACTCCAGGAAAGAAAAAAGTCCTGTAACAATAGTAACATTCTCATTATACACAATTTGAAAAGCATGTATACGTAAAAAAGAAAAGAAAAATGACACGCTTTATTTCAGTGCAGCAACAATCACTGTTAATTTTTAAAGTACAGCCTTCCGGTCACGGATAGAGACATTTTGAAAATTGCAGTGTCTGCTCTGATGCACAACTAATGGAATTCTGCCCCAGGATCAATGAAAGAGAGAGTAACAGAAAAGTGGCAAAATTATCAAAGTCGCAGATTGGAAACTAGGCTCTATAAAATCTGTCAATGATGCAGACCTGTGTCCTGAGAATGGAGAACAGATATGAGGAGTGATGTTTGTCTTGCAAAGTTCACCACAATCAATAACCGTTTCCCGGGATTTTGAGAATTTATTAGTCTCTGCTTTTTTGTAGCAGAAAGGTTAACAGGCAGCCTTGTTTACAGGTAGTAAACCCTTAAGTGGAAGGGGAGCATTAACAGTGAGGCAAACTATTAGGCTTGTTGCTAAGGATTATATAATTTTTTATCAAAAAAAAATGAGGATTTTCCATTTGTTTCTTTTAACAGCTTTTATTGGTTTCTGCTACATCAAAATTAATGCATGTTCATCGTAGGAGATTTTGAAAATATGGAGAAGTTAAAGGAATAAATTTAAGAACATTCATAATCCATCGGCCAGAGATAACATTGTTAGAAGTTTTGATGTATATCGCATCCTTCTAAACTTTTGCTGAGTACAATATTTTTTTAAAATTTTTTAATTTTTATTTATTTTTGAAGGAGAGAGAAAGGGAGAGACAAAGCTTGACCTGGAGAGGGGCAGAGAGAGAAGGAGACACAGAATCCAAAGCGGGCTCTGAGCTGTCAGCACAGAGCCCGACGTGGGGCTTGAACCCACAAGCAGGGAGATCATGACTGGAGCCAAAGTCAGATGCTTAACTGACTGAGCCATCCAGGCACCTCTACAATGTTCTTAAAAAACAAAATTGGGTTGGAGCACCCGAGTGGCTCAGTTGGTTGAGTGCCCAAGTCTTGATTTTGGCTCAGATCATGATCCCAGGGTTGTGGGATTGAGCCCTATATTGGGCTCTGTGCTAAGCATGGAGCCTCCTTAAGATTCTCTCTCTCTTTCTCTCTCTCTCTCTCTCTCCCTCTGCTCTTCTCCCCTGCTCACATGCTTCCTCTCTCTAAAGTTAAAAAAAATTAATAATTCAAAACTAAAATTGGGTTTGATGTATGTGTTATGATGTAATTTGTGTTATTCATCTGAGGAGGCATATCTTTCTATGTGGGCAAATAGTCTTCTCTCTCCAATGTTAGCTTTAATATTTGCATAGCATTCTATTTTATAGACTTACTATAGTTTCCCCTGTTGCTTGGTCATTCCGATTATTTCCCAATTTTTCCCAATTATAAAAATGCCCTTGGATCTATTCTTTTTTTTTTTTCTGCAAATTTATGATTATCTCCTTGGGATTAGTTTCTCAAAATTAATTTACTGGGTTAAAAAATATGCACATTTTAAAATACTTTGATTTTAAATACACATTGCCAAAGTCCCTTCAGAGAGAAGAATCCTCCCCTTAGAAAAGGAAGAGTATCTGTTTCCTGGCCTTGTTCATTTTTCCTTAATCTTTGGCAGTTTGGCAAAGGGGAAGGTAACCTCTCATTACTGTTTTAATTTGCATTCAATTACTAATCAGTTTGAACATTTTTTAGGTCTATGAAGGTCTTTTGGTCATTTTCGTTCACCTCTCCTTTTGTGACTTTGCTTTTCTCATCATTTGCCCATTTCCCTCATTGGAATGTTTTCCTTTTTTCTAATTAACTTATAAAATCTTACTAGCTATTGAAGATAAGAACATATTTAAATAATTATGATAGAGATTTTTCCTAATTTGTCATTTGCCTTTTCTCAGCATGTTATGGAAGTTTTTTTTGTCATGTGGCAAATCTGTTTTGTGGTGTTCTGTTTAGGTGTTGAGGTGGAAAGGATTATGTAGATTATATAACCTTCTTGATTTTTCTACTAGTGCCTTTATAATTTTGTTTTAGCAAATAACTCATTAATCCACTTACGTTACTTTAGTGTTTAACACGAGGAAGCACTTTAAATTTTGTCTCTGGGGGCCTTGTGTATTGTTCCCATGCTTTATGTCCCCATTAATTTGAAATGTCGCCTTTATTAAGTTTCAGTTCTCATATATATCCAAGTCTGTTTCTGGCCTCCATTTTCTCCAAGGATTTGTCTGCCTGTTTCTATGCTCGTATAACACTGACTTCATTGATGTAGATTTTTCGTAAGTTTTAATATCTGTTAAGATAAATGCTTCCTTAGTACTTGCGAAGTATTAACAGAACTCTCTGGCTCTTAGAGGGTTGTTGCTTTTTAAATAAACATAAAAATTGCATTTGTGGACATAAACAAGTTAAAATTCCTTTGGGGATTTTGGTTATAGTTGCATTAAATTTTAAATTACTTTGGGTATTTAGGATTTTGCAAAATTTTTCTAAAAAGCATTTTAAATGGGCATATTATAGCTCTGTGTTTATTCAACTCTGCCACAATTGTTTTATGTTACTTAGTGAAGTTGGAGGTGACTCTTTCATGGAGAGGCAGCCACCTCTGACCTAATGAATCTACTTTATGGTTGAGATCTGTTGTTTCGAAAGGAAGTATTTGTGAAAGTGAGTCAGGTGCTGAATACAAATGGAATTGAGAGTGTATATGTGTGCCTAACATTATAAAAACTCTCTTGTATCACGGTGTAGGAGGGGAAGTGGTACTTTTGCAGACTCAGAAATCAAGGTGCCATCTTGGTGTCTGCGTGGTTCCCATGGCATGGTGGAGATTAGACTGTGATCAGAATCAGGGCCTCCTGAGTCTTAGCTTTTCTTTGGCCTCTAATTGTGTGCCTTCCAAACAGGGGAAAGTTCCCCGACTCCATTTTATTAATGCTAAAGCCAATGTAGAAGAGGAGATTTTGCTTCAGAGTATGAATATAATCCACTCCCAATGGTTAACTCTGTATACTGTTCTATAATAATAGTAAATTTGCCCAATTTTTTCTTCATTTCCATCTTCAAGTATTATGTGAGACTCTTCCAAGACTTTATTCACCTCTCCAATTTTCCTTTCGATTCCTATTACTTGAGGAAAGAGAGATGTACTCAGATGCTTCTTTCTGCACTTAAATCAGGACTACATAAGGATGCGCAGTTTTTAGATAAAGCTCTTTTTTTTTTGAAATCTTTGGTTTGTAGTTTGACTGTAAAAGACATCCTATTTCAGGTATTTTATATGATTACTTTATATGTGTAATTGTGTGAACACGACCCAAAGTATATCTTCACAGGGACAGAGGAGAAATGGGGATGGAGCCTTGCAGAGGACATCAGAACAGTTGACCTTCAGTTCACCCTGTACTTGGTCTTTGAACCATACGTCACACTCATGTCCTCACTTTCAAAGTTTACTTTGTTGGGTAGCTGGGTCACTGAAGATATGAAGCAGAAGTTAGCACTCTCAGCCTTGACCATCAGGTTTCAGTAATTCTTTCAGCAAGTTGTGACAGTTCAGAGTTCTGGAGATGGTGCTAAAACGAATCCCTGGAATTTGACCTTCTCCAAGATGCTGTATCTGACCATTTTACCCTTCTGAACTGTAGTTTACCCCTTACTTGAGCTAGTTGAACATAGAAGATAAAATTATCGTCTTGGATGATGTAACTTGTTGGAGTATCTGACATTAAGAGGTAGGGCATTTCATTGTGGCAATTGCCTTTATTTTTCTTGGAAATGACAACACTTCGCTCTTGGCTTCCTTTAAGTAATTCTATTGTTAATATTGGTGTTTTTTCTACACATTACATCAGAGGGGCCTAACTTGCAGCTTCATTTCCCAGGAGCTCTGAAAGTAGAAAGGGAGGGCGGTAATCTCCTAGATGTTAATAAACGTTTACATTTAATGAGGAAGTGGCCCATAGAGATGGTGCTCTCAGAGATGTTAACCCTGTAGATCAAACCTCTGGAGCGCTGAGAATTACCAGGGAAGCGGAGAGCTCCCAGACAGGGCTTGTTTTTAGGGTGAAAAAGAGGTTTCCATTCTTGAGTAGATTTGATGATTTTTCAGATGCTGGTCTTAGTGTTCTCTTGTCAAGCTTCTAGTCGTGAGCAAAGACTGCTGCTTTGTATTACTTCCTGCTGCTGTCTTCCTGACTCCCCGGCAGAAGAGCACTCTGTCTGCAAAGTCTCCTCGGCATTGTGTATGTTGGTCCAGTAGGGCTGTGAACCTATTCATTGTTTTGTTTGTATGTTCCCCGCACTGCGCAAGGCAGAGACATTGTTGCATTCTACTTTTTTTAACCCTCAGAATCTGGGACAATGCCTGGAACCAGTGAGTAACTCCTCAGTGAATGTGTGTAGGTTGTATGTCCTGAAGAAAGGACTTCATTCCTAGCTTTGTCCCTTCCTAAGAGGATTGTGCCTTTGCTTTCCAGTCATGTCATCAAGTCCTACTGTTGGATCTTCTAGCACGTCCTCCATCCTTCCATTTTCCTCTTCAGTTTTTCCTGCTGTCAAACAGAAGAGTGCCTTTGCCCCTGTCATCAGGCCACAAGGCTCCCCTTCACCTGCCTGCTCCAGTGGCAATGGAAATGGATTCAGAGGTAAGCAAAGTACCACTCTGGTACTGCCACGATAGATGGGCCACAGGGCCAGCAGAGTAACAGCAAACCACACAGCGTCTTTCCCTACCTGTAGCCATTTACCTACAAAGAGGTGCTTTGGTGTTTTCACCATGGGTCACAGTTGGCTTGTACAACTGAGCTTGTACTCCATCCAAGAGCAAGATGGAGGGAAACAGAGAAGTCGGACAGCTCTTCAAGGTCACAGAATTAACTATGGTAGAACCATATACACCCTCCGAGGCATATCTGGGCTCCCCAGACCTTTTGCTTTCCATAGGGCCATGTCACTGTTTCCCAGAAGGTGCTGGTCATCACATCAGATACCATGTGGTGGTTGCTGCTTACCTAACTGTCTTGCCATCTGCAGTGCATACGTATTCCCATGGCACAAATAGACAGGATCCATTAGGAGCAACCAGCCCATTGTGAGAATGCTGGTTACATGCCTGTCAGATTGATAGCAGGTGCCTGATCGGGGTGGGGCAGGAAAGAAAGAAAAAATAAAAGACATGCAGCATCTAAGAACAAAAATTAATGTCACCCATCAAACCCATTTTGGGGCAATGTCTGAAAATAGAGCATGACATAACATAACACAAATGCGATGAGTACATGAGAATCTAATCATCTCACTGCGAATGGGAGCCAGCTGATGGCAAAAGAGCAAATGGGAACCTTCTGAACACCATGGATCCTGACGACCCATGTTATTTTTAGGCTCTTCTTCGTGTCTTGACATGAAAACATTCATGACAAGCGGTGTTGGCTGAAACTGAGCAGGGCAGAGGTTTGGTTAACCCCTCACAGATCAGAGCCTCGGAGGTCAGCAGAACCTCAGATGAGCCATGCCGATTCCAGGATGGGATCTGCCTCGTAGCTTTATGATTATGCCTAGCTCCCTGACGCTGTGGGTCACCTGGGGGTGGGCGGTTTGTCTGCCCATCGTGGCCAAGCAGAGCCCTGGGAGGCACCGTAGGCTCCTGTCCCATTATACCCAAGAGACCATGGTGTCTCCTCAAAGCCAAGTGACTTGACAGACAAACTGTGAAATGGGAACTGGACCCTCAGCACTAGGAAGAGTCCCTGAGAATTCTTTCACTTTCAACTAGACAAAGCGGCTGGGTAACATGCCACCCGATGTGTGAGTAGTTGGAAACATGAGGGGGAAGATATAGCTGTGTTTGGTTTTCATCTAGATGTCTGATCCATAGAGAAACAGGCTCAGCCTATAGCTCAGTGGCACTACCTGCCTGGTCTCTCCTCACCAACCAGTGGTTTCCATCCCATCCTTGGGGGATACGCTCACACCTTTTTCTATGAATGGCTTCATCTCAAGTTTGGAAAGTGCATACAGTTGTTGAGTATTTGGTGTATCTTGGCCTTCGGCACACCCACTTTGGTGATGATGCTTCCCCTTTCTAAGTTCTATGATTTTAGTCATGTTCCTTAACTGCATGAGGGCCGCCCGGGTCTCATGGGGGAAATGTAGAGTGAGGGCCCCACGAAAGGCTGAGAAAGAGTGCAGGTGCAAGAGAAAGTCAGGAGGGACGCAGCTCTTTCCTCCTTCCAGGCGACCCTTGCCAACGTTTTCAGCTTCACTTTGAGGAGAAAAAGTATGACTTTACTTCCACTTACCCGCCCTCCTTCGTCTCTCTTGCGCGAGCTCTCAGTTGGGGAAGTTGAGCTGGTTGTCTCAGATCTTCTGGGCACTAGAGACTCACCTATGGGGCCTGTCCGGCTTGTGGCCCTCAGGGATTCTACGACAGATTTTTCTCTGGCTCCTGTCACCTGGGATCCGCCCCCGGCCTGTTGCTAATGGCCGAGTCTAGCTGTGGTGTGCCCCGCTCAGCATTGGGTTTCCCCCAAATGCTGGAAGGGTCTGTGTGGTCATAGTGAGGTCTCTCTGTGGGGAGGCAGCAGTAGCCAAAATATCCGAAAGACCCTCTCTAAGGTCCTCAGCCATGTGAGCTTCTGGTCCCTGAAGGTCAGAATAATTAGGCTGAGGAAGTGGCTGAGCCACACGTTCCATGTCTGCAGGAATGATGATTTTATCAGTTACATGTAGGGACAGGCTCCGGGATCTGATCTCCTTTCCATAGAATCACTGAGATGTCCTGAGCCACTTTTGGAATCCTACAATTCCCTCTAAATTTCTCTGGCAATTGGAGCCTTGAGATGACGAAGAAAGAAGACAGTAGGGAGGAGGTAGAGGAGGAGAACTGTGCCTACATTAGGAATGCAGACTCCCACTTCTCCTCATTTGGCATCGGGAGACTAGAAGTTCAAGGTCCAGCGCTACGAGGTGTCCCGCTGATGCATAGAGGGAGAAAACGAGCTGACTTCGAATGAGCTAGCTCCAGCCGCTGAATGAGAGTCCTGGGATTCAGGCGCGATCAGCACAAAGGCTCCATCTCTTTAGAAACAGACAGCAGGAGAGTGAACCTGTGGTCCGAGGTGCCTGGGAGGTCACAGGCTGATGGAGATGTTCTTCTCTGAACTTGTAAGATGAGATGGTCTCAATCCTCTGCAGAGGCCTCGTGCCACCAGCCCTCTCGGAGGCTTGCTGTTGTTGAGCACTGTGTACAAGACACTGAACCAAATACTTTACACGGATTACCTTGCTCAGGCATCACATGTGACCGGAAAGGGGAAGGTCATAGCATTATCACCGTTTTTAGTCAAATAGTTTTCCCAAGGCCACACAAGCAAGATGACCTCAGACATTTTTGCCTCCAACGCCTGTGCTCTGACAGCCGGCTGTCTCTCCAGGGACAAGTGTAGTGCAATTCCTGTCTTCACTCTTCACCCATACCTGCTTTCCACCTGGACCAAAGGGAGATTATTGCTTTCCTAGGAAATGCCAAAGGCGGAAAGAAATTGGACAGAGTGCAGTTAAGCACGCTCTCCTGCCTGCAGTGAACATGCTTACTTTTTCTCCGATTAACGTCTGCTTTTTGTTGGTTGGCTGTGGTTTCTATAAGCAAAAAGTCAGGGTCGCCCTGTAGCAGAGCTCCAGCCCACCCAGTGCCCAAGGTGAGAGTAGGAAGAAGAATATGTGAGATCTGCTGTTCTCCCTGCAGGCAGCAGAACCTCTTAGAGGGCTCTGCCCTCCTAGTAAGCTCCTTGGCTAACTCCCTGAGGGCCCAGAAAAAGGAAGGGGCTGATGAGTTTAAAGTGTAATAGACAAGTTCAAGTTGAAAATGTGAGCCAGAATCCTACTGCCGGAGAGTTATACATGCGCTGCTCACTCTCCCAGCTTCTACCTCATTTATCAGGCATTTGCAGTGATGAGTATAGATTGTCGAGATAATGTTATGCACTATGTGCCTGATTCATTTTCCAGCTCCCTCCAGGAAAAGAAATAAAATAAAATAAAAAACCTCCTACACTCTGGGATAATTACCAGGGTTGCTATGTCTCCAAATCATCAGGGAGTGTCCAGAATTGAACTGCCTTTATTGAAAAGTTACATCGATTCAATATATAGTAATACAGGCAAAAATAATTAAGGCTTTGCTAGCTGTGTAAGACCTTAATCCAGATCTCACAAACATTCAATAAAGGCTGTATGGGCAGGGAAATAGACGGCTGACAATTTTGCCTGAGCAGACTAGCTGGCACAGAGAGAAGGGCAGAGGGAGGGGAGGGGGAAGAAGAGGAGGAGAGAATGGGAGGGGTTGGTGCTGGGGGAAGCAGGAAGAATCTTGGCCCTTTGTTTATAAGCTTGGTAAGCACCACTCAGTGAAATGCTTCTATGTATTTGATAAGCTCTAGATGAGACAGAGACAATGAAACTCAAAGGATCAAGTTCTAGGTAGGGTTTAAAGTTTTGATGCAAGGGAAGTACTCTGCCAATTCCCAAGAATGGGTTCATCACCTGAAAGCCAAGGTCAGAGGGTGCATTTTGCTGTGTGACTTTTCCACATTGTGCTGTTGCTACTTTGTTTCCCATATCAAGGGGAAGCCTTGGACCTGATGCCCCCAACAGATATCATCTGTGTCCTCTTCACTAGATGGAGGAGACATTACGCACCACACTTGGCTAGGGGATGATGGGTGGAGATTGGGTGACTCCCAAATTTAGGAGCACAATTAAGTCTTCTATTGCAGTGGATCAGCATTCATTAGTGAACAAGCATCACGTATCAGCAGTGAGCACCAAAGGAAGATGAGCTAGTTAAAAAAACAACAACAACAACAGAAAAAAAAAAAAAAAACCTCATCACATTTCAGCTAGAATGGATAGAAACCTAGGATGGATAGAAAGCCCTGTTAGTTATACATGACACCTGGTGAGTTACTCTACAGGCTCAGAACCTGGAGTTTTCTTTCCTGTTCTGATTTGAAACCATACAATCTTCTTTGTAGTCTAATGATAATGAATGAATATATCACAAATATATGAAAATTTAGTTTACATGTTTTCATCTGTTATGTGAAGTATACAACCCACTGATAGAAAACTAGACAAAACATAGCTCCTGGCCATCCAACAAAGCTTCAGCAAGCCTTGTTTATATTTCAGTGATTCCGTAAGGCTTCAGTGCCTCTGACTGGTCTGTCTGCTAGACCAAACCTGGAGAATATGGGTTCCCATATCAATGCACTGTCTCCCTGGATTGTACCAGACTCTGTCAGTCCCCACCCCTACCCCTCTCTCAAGGTTTTAGACATGAGGGTAAACATCTCTGAGTCTCATTCCTGTGCTCCTTTTTCCTTGCAGCCATGACTGGACTTGTCGTGCCTCCAATGTAAAGAAGAGGAACTGCTTTCTTGTAGCACAAAACTACTTACTCTGATGGACCAATACTGAAGAAAGCACTATGAGCTCTTTGGGGAGGGTTGTGCCCCAGAATGAACATGGCGGACAGATTTGGGTATGCAAGGAGCCGCATCTTACCTGGTCTCCTGTTTCTTGGATAGCTCTCATGGTGGCTACACAAACTGACCCTCTTGGGGACAAGGACAAAAGATGTCATTGACGTAGTCAGTGCTAAGAGCAGAAATGCAATTCTTTGTTATGAACCTTATGAGAACCACCTTCCTATGTTTGTAAAATATTTAAGAAAAAAAATTGGCAAACAATTCATGCTTAATATTTTGGATACTATTTGTTTTTCTTTGTAGGAAAAAAAGTTGAAAGTTTCTATTTTCTATGAAGCCTTTCAGATACCAATTTAGTTTATGCAGAAAAAAAAAATTGAACACAACAGGGTACCAGCATGGAAGACTTTCTTAAACGAAACCTGAACTGAATGATGAAATGTTGTATGTGTGTTTGCTTATAGTTTAATCTCTTTAAAAAACAAACAAAAAAACAAAACAAAACAAAACAAAAAAAGGGAAAAATTTTAAAATGTTTTACAATTATTTAAATAAATAAACGTGTAACTTATTGTAAGTAGAGGTAGAAATTAAGACCTTTTTGGAAGAGAGAGGAATTTCTCTTCCTGATGTAAAATGAAAATGATGCAAACAAGTAGTAACAAGTTTAAAAGGTGTGTGATTATTCCTGCAGTTACTTATTAGACTTTTATCCCCCATCCTGCATCTCCCACTTTTTCCATCATTTTATTGACCCATGGGCAAGAACGTGTACCTTCCAGAGATTCCTACAGAAGAGCCCAATACAGAAACAAAGATTCGGTCCAGGCGTGTACACAAATACTCAAACTCATCCATTCATTCCCAGCTCCATCCACTTTCTAAAAAGTCTACATGTCCCTTTTGATATTCACTCTTTGTGAATTTTTTAAAAATTTATATTGGCTTTCGACACTCTCCTCTGAGCAGTGCGGAGAATTCCCATGTGTCCCAGGCTTTGTATCCCAGAGAAAGACATGTCTCACCTGAAAGAAGAGTCAAAGCCACGTGACTTTCCTAACCATGTGACCCCTTTGGAATTCTCTCTTGACAGAGCCACATGCCCCCTCCTGTAGGCTCCCTGGTTGAGCACAGATGTATGAGCTCCACGGAACGTCAGAGACAGGGTTAAAAGAAGATGATCCTGTTTCTTGGACTCTTAAGCACTAGTCTTAGAAGGTCCATGCCCTTTCTTCTCTCTGCAGATTTCCCCTTTCACAGCATTCAACTCTCTTGAGAAAATGTGTAGATAACTTGACACAGTTTCCAGGCAAGAACAGAATGGTTGTATGGAAGAGGAATGTTAAGAGCCCTAAATCCCTCTCCTGAGGTTCAAAAAGATGGAAACCCAGGTTCTTAGCGGGTCAGAGATTAGGGGCAGCTGTGCTGAAGTAGCACAGTTACCCAGGTCTGCAACGGACTCTTTATAGTTCTGGGATCAGCTCTTAGGCAGGGAGACTTTGCAGGAGCTGCTAACCGTGGCTGAGCCTTGAAGGTCTGTGGGATCCTGAAGATGTATCTGAACTCATTTGGATTTCCAGTAAGGACGTCATTTTTTTCTAGGCCAGGGTTCTCTTTGTTGACTCATTGGTACCATGGTACGGTCTATATACAGATTTTGGTTTGGGGTTCTAACTTCAGAAATTGTTGCAGCTCTGATGGAAAACATCTTTCGTGCATCTGAGCCAATTTTAGGTGACTTTGCAAATTCCACCTGCCTTCTGTTTGCATTGTTGATGCCTTCCCACAGCTATCCAGCCCCCAACGGTCTTATCTGCCTTCAATCTATTCTGGAATTACTCAATATGACCCAAATATTATGTCTATGCACATGAGAATCCAAGGTTTTAGAAATCTGGCATGCTTGTAATTACTGCTG